TTCCTGTCCTCTCCCTTATTACTTTGAGCCAACCTTCGCTCCTCCCCAACTTTCTTCCTTTCCACCTCTCTCTCCCTCCACCTTTCCACCTTCTGTTGTGTCCCCTCTCCCCTTGCCAAACCTCTCACTCCCCACCCTCTGTCGCTCTCTTTCTTTCTCTCTCTCTCTCTCATCCCTACTTTCTGTCCTCATCTTCCTTCCCACCTTCTATCTCCTTGTTCCTCCCTCTCCCTACCTTTTGTCCCACTCCTTCTCCCTACCCTATCCTTTGTTTTTCTGGTCTGCCTACTTCTTCTCCCCCTCTCCTCCTCCTCCCTTCCTACCTCCCTCTGTTCTACTTCTTTCTGCCCCTTCTCTCTCCTCCTCCTTATCTCCCTCTTTTCCTTTACCCCCACACCTTGTCCTTCCTAACCTTATCTATTTCTCTGCCTCCCCTCCTTACCCCTCTCCCTCCACACCCACACTCCTGTCTTGTCTCTGTCTCTCTCTCTACACACACACACACACACACACAGCACACACACACACACACACACACACACACACCACACACACACACACACACACACACACACACACACACACACACGCCACAACAGAAGCAGAGTCTCGCTCCAGTCGTCCCCATGACTACCCCATTCTCCCTCCCACTCCCACTCCTTTCCGAAGCGAATTTACCTGAAACGGTCGAGCGGCGAGGGGTATCCGGGCGTTCCGAACTTGGGCTTTGTATCAGCTGAGATGAGTCTGTTCTGGTAGCAGGTAGCTGGAAAGACGGGAGAAGGAGAGAGTTAGGAGGGAGTGTTTTAAAGAGGGGGGGTGGGGGTGGAGGACCTTGGTGCTCCGACATTAGCACGGATTGCAAAAAAAAAGTGATTATGTGAGCCATTTCCTTTGTATTGTCTGCTTGTATGTATGATTCGGTGTTCCTCTGATGAAATGCTTTCAATTAAAGCAGATTAAATAATTCATTCTTCAACACGGACGAAAAAGTCACAATCAACTAAATTTTCTGACTACTATTAAAAAAAATAATGAAAACTCCTTCCGTCCTTTTTTGGCACAAACGTCTTCCACGCCAACATAAACATTCTGCATTCTCTTCCTATTTCCATTGTCACTTGTTACTATTCCTTTCCTATTTCCTAATATCGCGGCTTACTTACCCGGCTTCCGCTTCCGTTATGTCCTACATTTCCAAACTCGACTTGAAAAAATAACTGCTGACTCACAGCCGTTATACCACTGTCACTATATATAGAGAGAGATCTGTCGCACTGAACCACACAATATTGTCTTCAAATATAATTCTTCTCCACTCTGGGTCCTTGTTCGTCCGTCGCTCAGTATCCTAATTGTCAATAAAGCGCAGGCAAATTTCACCCTTTGTCTCTCCCTTCGTCTCTTTCACCAAACTCGGCCTCACCAGCAGCCTCACTACCCACCCTCGCACTCGAACGAACGAACCTCCAAGTCGCACCTTTCCAAGTCCAAGAATTGAGACCCCCTCTCTCTATCTCTCTCTCTATCTCTCTCTCTCTTCGCGCCGCACTCCCGCACCGCGCACTCCTCCCACCTGCAACGGCGAGCGGTAACGTAATAACTGGCGCTGGGAGAACAGGCACAAGGAGAGGTGGAGCGATTCCAGCAAGCAGGCAAAAGCACGGAGAGGGGTGGGATTACGGGGGGAGGGAGGGAGGGAGGGAACTCGCTCCAGCAGGGTCCAGCTCCGTCCGACAACCAGACGTCATGCGACAAGCACGCCCGCAGTTTGGCCGCGCGCCCGTTATCGTAACCCGCTCTCGACTGCACTGTGCCTGGCTGCGCCCGCGAAGAGACCTTCTCTCTCTCTCTCTCTCTCTCTCTCTCTCTCTCTCTCTCTCTCTCTCTCTCTCTCTCTCAATGCCTCCGTCTCCTCAACAGTCCTTCCCTACCCTCTACCCTCCCCCTCCACTCCTCTTTGTTGCTGTATCCCCCACATATCCTTCTGTCTCTGCCTTCCCCCCTTCGCCCCCCCCGTGTGTCCCCCAACCCCCCGCTGACTCACCATCGTTAGGTTTCCCGCTCAGAGGTGACAAGCCGCGATGACTTGATTGATTTCTGGCCGATGATCTGATTGTGTGTCACGGTTTTCAAACTTCCCGCCTTGGGGACCATTGGGTGTGGGGGGGTGGGGGGGGTGGGGGTAGGGGATTTCGCAAGCACGGCTCCATCCCCCTCCCCTTTTTTTATTTCTTGTGGTGCTTGCAATTTCCACTCGTCTTCACCCGCTGGAGATTTTCCATGACGCAATCCGCTTGCCCGAACTCTTTCGCGCACACACGCTAATCATAAGTTCTCGCTTACACTTTATGCACTCGTAGATCTACTCTCTCTCTCTCTCTCCCTCCCCTCTCCCTCTCTCCCCCGCTATATCTTCCCCCCACTTCTCTCTCCTCTCTATCTAACTGCCACCTGTGTGTGGTCTTTCTCCTAGGCTCTCTCCTATATACACACAAACAAATGCACACGCACGATCGCCCGCAAATTCGTCCACAAACTTTCAGACCGAAAATTTGGAAAGTTGAAACCCTCTCTCCGCGCGCGGCACACACACGCACACACACACACACAACACACCAGCACAGAGTTCACACGTCCGGGACAACCGATGACTAATTGCCGGAAAAATCAGGGAGAAGGGTTCCCAGGGAGACGAACCCGCCTGATCCTTTCACTTTCCGAGAGTCAATCGAGCTGGTCGCCGCTCACACACCGCGCGCGAAGAAAACCCCAACCGCAAAAGGAAAACAAACAGACACACAGCGACACACGCCTCCCTCCTCCATCCCTCCCGCTGCAATGTAGTGAAGATCCTTCCCTATCCACGCTACTGCCCGGAGACTGCCAAGATCATCTCGAAAAATAAAGAGTATGGGTGAGTGTGCGTGTATGAGTGAGTGAGTGAGTGAGTGAGCGAGTGAGCGTGTATCAACGAAGAACTACTGCCATGGTGCTAACAGTGACACCCACAACACAAATGCTAATCGAACAGTTCAACGCAAACAGAATCATCAGCACATGCCCTTCAGAACAATTCCGAGGACGTGGGGTCTCGAGTCACATTGAATGCGCACGTGCACACACACGAGCGAAAGAACTCTCACACTCGCATATGCACAGGCTTACACGCACATACGTACATACATGCATAAATCTCGCCCCGCCCCCCATGGTGTTCATGCTTACATCTACTCCGTTCTCTCATAAACATGGCCACATACTTGCATAAAAAAAACACGCGAGGCACACAACACACGAAGATGAATAATATACATATATAAACGCACACATACAGTTATAAATATAATATATATATATATATATATATATATATATATATATATATATATATATATATATATATATGTATGCACACACACACATAGGCACATACACTCATAAATATGGACATAGAAACAGATACAGACAAAGAGACATACGACGAAGATATACATAAAGACAAAAAAAAGACAAAACAGACAAAAATACCGAAAAACAGAAACACACAAACATTCATAACACCCTCCCACCCCACCCCACCTTTCCTCTTCCACTCCCCCCTACCACGACCCCCTCCTAACTACCCTCCCACCCCCACCCCCCACCCCCCCCCTGCCAAACCGCGATATTGACTAATAACGGAACTACTTTGCGCGGCGGCGGGTTGGGTGCTTCTGGTTTCCCGCGTCGCCTACCAAAACAATTACTGCGCGCCGAAAGAGAGTGTATTGTTCCGCCGCCACCAATGCATTTTCTTTTCCATTGTTTTTTTCTTCTAAAGGCAGGAAAGTAGACGTGGGGGAGATGGAATGTGAAAGAAGAGGGGAATAAAAGAAAATAGAGGAGGAGGGGAGAAGAAGGGAGAGGAGAAGCTGGGGACGGGAGGTGGAAGAGAAATAGAAGGGGGGGGGAGAGGGGAGAGAGATGAGATCAAAGAAAGAAGAAAGAAAAAAGAAAAAAAAAAAGAAACACGAGAATAAAAAAGGAAACAAAATCAAATGAATTCAATCGAAACTCCCAGGTCTAGGAAAGAACGAAAATATGAAGACGAATATGAAGAAAAAGAAGCTGAAACAAACGAAGAAGATGAAAAAGAAGGAGGAGCAGAAGAAGAAGACGCAGACGAAGACGAAACTCAAACCACATGCTTATGAATCACGAATGCCTTCCCATTGCTTATTTGATTACAAAACAATCCAATAAAGACACCCCTCCTCCTCCTCCTCCTCTTCCTGCCCTCTCCCCCCCCCCCCAAAAAAAGACAACAAAACAAAAATGCAATTACGACGACAATAAAAAACAAAATGACGCAACTGAATCTAATTGAAATCATTTAACGGCCAAGGTCGCACGCCCAGAATTCATCTCAATGCATTCGTGGCATGTGCAGAGGCCGCGCCATCGATCTGCTGATGATAACTGAGGTGTGTTTGTGTTTCGGCGAGTGTGTGTGTGCGTGTGTGTGCGTGAGTATGAATGAGTGAGTGAGTGAGTGTGTATGAGTGAGTGTGAGTGTGTGTGGGTGAGGGAGTGGAGTGGTGGGTGGGTGTGCAGGTGAAGTGAGTGAGTTTGTGTATGAGTGAATGTGGGTATGAGTGATTGTAAGAGGGAGGAGGAGGTGGTGGAGGAGGAGGAGGAGGGACAGACAGAAGAGAGAGACTGACAGACAGACGAGGCAAGAGAGAGAGAGAGAGAGAGAGAGAGAGAGAGGAGAGAGAGAGAGAGAGAGAGAGAGAGAGAGAGAGAGAGAGAGAGAGAGAGAGAGAGAGATGGAGAAGATGGAGAGATGGAGAGATAGAGAGATAGAGAGAGAAAGAGACAGAGAGAGAGAGTAACTAGGAAAAAAAAACTCACCCAACTGGCCTTGTTTAAAAATAGGAAAAGGAAGCACCGCGGAGGCCGTCCCCACTTGCAAGATGAGAGACCGAGGAGGCGACGAGCGAAAGGCGGAAGGAAAG